CTAATTTGCACTGGGTTTTGTCCTCAGACTGGAGTGGAGTGAGGAAGAGTATTGAGCATTCAGAGGAACTCACCCATAACGGCCGGTCTGAGCAGCAGCAGCTTGAGGAGACGCAGGTTTTACCTGCAGCTGCTCCTCCCGTCCAGGTAAACATCAGCTGAAGACCAGAATCAGGCATTTTTCAATTAGAAATTCATCTATCTGTTGTTAGAAAGGCTTTGTAAAGCGCAGAATGGACTTATTGAAGATTATTGAAAAATATCTACTTACTGCAGTGACTCAGAATAGCTTAACGCTCACAGGAGTGTCATTAAGAGAGCAGAAAAATCACTCGTACAGTAAAGCCTCATTTGTTTCAGGTTCCTCCAATGCAACAGCCAATGGTTGCTGTGGGTACTCTCCAACCTCCAGTGTTTCCTGGCCCCATGGGCATGCCTCCACCCACTTTCACTCCAGGAGTCCCCCCTCCTCCTTTCATCAGACATGGTTTCAACCCCATGCAAATGCCTCCAGGTACCACCTCCTATCACTCCTTATTGTTATTATTCATCTCCGTAGCCCCCTTCCTATTAATCATAGTTTTAAATCTATTCGCTATGTTGTTTAATCCCCTTCACTCTCTGAACATAATGCTTTCTAACCCCTTCATAATGTATTATGGAGTAAATGCCAGCGCCAGTCCAGTGAAAGGAATTTTTAAAACCTTTTTATAAAGCAAAGACAACTTCGCTTTTTAAAAATAGACAAATATCACAGATTTTACACCCAATCTGATTTTCAATAAAGGAATAAATCAAGGAAGTCATGGCTTGGGGGTTCCTCTAGCTCTCATTTAGGTTTTACAGGAATCTTTAAAAAGAAAAACTTTTTTTTTGTTTATATAAGTATTAAGAAAGGTATACTATTTAATTTATTATAGCTTTAGTTATCTTACATTACTCCACTAAACATTTATGCGGGAATAGAGATGCGCTGTGTGTCCATATTCATTCCTCACTCCTCTATTCTCCCAGGTTTTCCTCCCCCGGGTCCGATGCCACTCGGTCCCCCACCTCCGTCCAAAGTTGGAGTTGATGAGCCACCCCATGATCCAACAGGTATGGGGAACAGGAAGGATGAGGCCCTGGAGGGTCCCAACATCTTTAACAATCAGCTGGGACCAATGGGTCAGTCTGTGTTTTTCATGCTTGGTTTTCAGTAGACTGGGAGAAGTCATGTGGATCATACGAGGCTGTTTAAAAATATTGATTGCCTTCGCATTTCATTACACCTTCAGGTAACCAAGTAGGCGGTCCTCCAGTTGGACTTCCAAGTGGTCTTCCTGGTGGACCTCTCATCACGCCCCCCGGTGGCCCCCCAGTTGGACCTCCAGGTGCTCTTCCAGGTGGGCATGCTGGGAATCTCCAGCCCCCCTCTGGTGGTCTGCTGGGTGCACGGCCTGGTATTATCCCACTCCAGCGGCCTCCAGGCCCACCGCCTCCTCACATGCAGCGGTTCCCTCCCCCCCCACGGGCCGAGACCACCTCACCCCAACATACCGCCTATACCTCCACCGATGATACCCCGGGGCCCCCACCCCCAGGTGATGCACCACGAGCCCCCCCTGACTAAAGGAGGCTTTGGAATGCCGCCTCCACATAATATGAGGCCTCCTTTCCCTCATCAACATGGCCCTCCCCCTCAGGGCCCCCCCCTTCAAAGCCCTCCCCCCCCAGCTCCTTTTATCAGACCGGGGGGTCCGAGAGGCATTGATGGGCCGGAGGAAATGGAGGATCGGTCATTCAGGGGAGAGAGGCCTGGATTCAGGGAGAGAGAGCAGGAGAGGGAGAGAGACTGGGATCGGAACAGGGAGAGAGAAAAAGACAGGGGCTTTGGAGGAGGCAGGCGTCCGTTCGGTGATGGAGCGCGGGGAGGCGGAAATGATAAAATGGATGGAAGGGACCGGCTTGCAGGTTGGCAGGAAGATGGCGGCAACCGTGGGGGAGGCTGGGAGAGAGACAGAGAAAGAGACCGTGACAGAGACCGCGACCGCGATCGAGACAGAGATAGACGAGACTGGAGGGAGAGGCGAGGCAGCCTGGACCGAGACAAGGAACGAGGGAGGGGGGATGATGGGGAGAGGGACCGAGGGAGGGGGGAGGGAGGGGAGAGAAACAGAGGGGAGGGGGCTGGTCGAGAAAGAGGCAGAGGAGACGAAGGAAAAGCGGAGAGGCCGAGGCGTGCGGAGCGGCGAGAGAGGACCACGCGATGGGATAGGGATGATCGATTGGCCGAACTGGAAAACATGGACAAATTTCGGACCTCTAACAGCACAGAGCAGTCTCGCGTGATTCCTGTGGCCACCACGGAAATAGGCAAAGAACCGGAGGGGGAAGCATCTCAAAAGAAGGCGGATTCTGAACACGTAGCTCCGCCCCCAGATGTGACCACCCCGACTGGAGATGCGGTGCCCCCTGAGCCTTCACCCACAGCTCAAAGCGAGCCCTCAGAAAGCAAAGCGGAGGCAGCCTCGTAGGCCTCCTGCCAGAGACAGCTGTCCACCACCGAAATATACAGAAGGTTTTGTCCGGCTGAATCATCAGTCTCAGTTGTTGGAAGGTAGATTTTTAACTAGTCACAGTTAGTCAGCTTGTAATTGACAGTTTCTGGGCAGTAGCACCTTTCTTTCTCCCAAACGCAAAACACACGATCATAGACATTTCATTAATTAGAATTTGGCCTCATATCTGCATTTCAGAACAGGAGATCTATTTACTAAAAACCCTTGTTAGTTATTGCCAACCGGCTGCTTTTTTCTTCTTCTTGTGAATGGTTGTAAAAAATGAGTGCTCGCATGTATAGTTTTTTTTTTTTTAAACAATTTTTATTCTGACCGAGGAGACATGATTTATGTCGATTTATTTTTAACTCCATTTCTACAAGTGTGAGATGGCAGGCACTTCTCAATGATGGAAATGTGTTCGTTTAGAGGGGTGTTTTTTTTTGTCAATGTCACGTCGAACACTGAATATTGTCTAAAACAACTCTGTTGTGAAAGAGGTTCTTCTTTCTTTTCTCATCTTATGGGTTAAGTGTTGGCTCATCCTTACTTTAATGCAGCCAAGAAGGCTCCACTTGTAAAGGACAATAGTGGCCTTAAAAAGATGTCAAACTACAGATGCTTGATGCCATAATTGATTAATCTTTCCTGGTGTCTTTAAAATCCACCATCAGTACAGTTTTGTGGAACTTTTTAAACTAGTGTTTCTCTTAAGAACTCTTAGAGCAAGGAAAGTCATATCTTAGTGAATACATTAAGAGATAACCCATTCCAAGGTAATATTGAAAGATTGCTTCCATTTAATTGATTATAAGGTACTGATACAGATGTCGCGTTACAACGAAACTGTTATTGGAATTTTGTAATTCCCTCCCTGAGCATTTAATCCAATTTTCTGCTGACATAACATTGCACAGAAAATCATGTAAAAAGTTTATCGAAGTGCAGGACCTTTGAAATATTCAGTATGAGCAGAAATCTGACGGTTTTAACTAATATGTGGTGTTGAGCCTTAAGGATATTTTTAATGGAAAACTGAATTAGATCAATTTTACCTCAAAAACAAAAAAAGAAATTAGGCAAAATATTCTCTCTGGTAGGGAAGATTCCAATTTTTGTATTGGCTGTCAAATGGTGAAAAAGTTTAATGGAAGTCCACTAAAACATTTCTAGGATGTAAACTACTTTCCTCTACTCTTTCGGCCCCTGTTCGAAAAAAAGAAAGAAAATCCAACATAGATTTAGTTCAACTTTACAAATTGTAAGAAGTATTTGCTGGTTTTAATTTTGGGGAATTTTTTTTCAAACAAATGTTTGTATGAAATACATATGTTTTGGTAGTCTTCTGTAAAGGCGAAGTGGCCTCTGTTGGATCAGAAAGAAGAGTCAGAATGTTATGTCTCCACTGGGCTTTCCTGGTTCCTAATCTTAAAAAAGAAGCTTCTAAAGAATGTGATGGTGGAATAGTTCGTTTAGGCAGCCATTTGTCTGCCGAGTCAGCCAAACTGAAAATGTTCTTTGGTGTCAGCAAAGTATGTAAAGTAAATAGTAATTCTTTGTTTTGTTTTTTGTTCTTTTTATACCTAATTGATAAACACAACCAAACTAGTGTTTGTTTCACCAAACATACACTATATTGACTTTGGTCAAATTGGACGCCCATAATTGGCTAGTGCATCTCTTGTGTGAATTATTATTATTATTTTCTATTAACTAAGGTGAGGAGAACAGACCTGAAGTGATGAAATGAAGGTTACTGCCTGGAACACTGCTGTAAATATGCTTGTATCACTGACAACTTCAAAGGTTTCATGGTAATTGCTGTTAATATTCTGTGATTTGCTTATCTGAGAGAAACAAAATTGATGTGGAAAGAACGTCAGAGTTCCCATGCTTTAACGTTTTTAACTCCTGGTGGTTTAAAAGTTGACAGATGTTTCTATGATTTGTTTAAAATACAAAAGACGTGGAGATCAAATCTGCAATATTTCAGCCACAGGAAATTGTTTTTAATAAACTATTTTTGTACCAAATCATTCTGCTTTTTGTATTTAATGCTTAATGCAGTTTAGATTTTCTTGTTTAGTTGGTTTCTACAGATAAATACATTGAAAATAACCATTTTGGCTTTCTTGTATTTCTTTAAACTGTGAAAATTGACTTGAGCTAATGAAAAGGTTTCATTATGAAGTAATTGGATGTAAATCGTATTCTCCTCATATGAAGGACTGCCTTTAATTTTACAGCAGGAGTGTTGTTAGGCCTTTGGATAAAAGCCACTGCTAAATGGATAAACATAGACATACATTTACCGATGGATTTTCTATTAAGAGATATACAATAGAGATATTTATTATAACTAGTTAACGTTTCTTCATGAACTGAAAATGTTAATGTGAATTGTGTTTGCCCAATTACATTTAGCCAGTTTTTTCACTTGATTATGATTGGCTATTGCTCACACGACCCCGCCCATTAAGCTCGTACTACATAGTTCGGTTGCCTTGCAGAAGACGAGCACACAATTGTAACTTTGGTGTCTTGGAAAACTGTTGCAAAGATGGTGCTCAAAGCTGTTTGTGTGCTCAAAGGAGCCGGTGAGACCAGTGGGACTGTTTATTTTGAACAGGAGGTAAGATTTGTAACGTTCCGAACGAGCAGAACCAGAGGTTTTACGTTCGTGTGTCTGGGTGCTTAAGTGCGTGAAGGCTAAGCTAGCGTAGTTCTCCATTCAGAGGCTTGTAGCAGACATATTCGCTGTTTCCTATTCATGTTGGCGTGTGTTATAATTAAATCTCAAGTCATTCAGCTTGGCTAGTCCTTGCATGTTTGCATGACGTTATTCAACGCCTCTCCTATGCAAATTAGAGTTCAACTGCACGTTGCAAAATAAGACGGGGAGTGCGCTTATATGACACCTAGTTGACACTATTTATTCAAAGTAGGCAATTCATGTTAAGGCATAAATAACCACTGGGTATAATGGCTGAAATCAAAGCTCGGCAACTTAAGACATAACCTTTGGACACTAATAGCCGGAGAATTGGTAATGATTAACAGTGTAAATATCTGTTGCGTAAGTTAGAGGTTTTTGGTCTTCGTACCTCACAATCTTAGTCGTTGTTTAGCGATATTTTCAATTGCACCAAGTATGTTATGACCTCTATTTTGTGACTATTTTCGCGGAAAATATAAGCATTTGTTGCTGCATTAAAACGCGCTACTGGTGATCTTAAATGTTGTTTATTTTTGCTGAGTCATAGCGTGACCTCGGTCTTTCGTTATAGAGCGACTCGGGACCGAGCGACCACGTGCCACAGGCCACCCGGAAGTCCTTCACCCCACTTTGTGTTTATCTCAACTGTTTTGAAATTGTTACTGTGATTTTTAGGACCAATCAGGCTATATTTAAGAATCCGGTAACTCTGTACTGCTGATGCTTGCTGTGTTTTTATGTTCAGACCCATGTATGATGTGATTTTTACATTTTAATGTATTCATTTTTTAATTTTTTCCCCAGAGTGATTCAGCTCCTGTAAAGCTGACAGGAGAAATCAAAGGCCTTACCCCTGGTGAGCATGGCTTCCATGTCCATGCTTTTGGTGACAACACAAACGGTAATTATAGAATTCATATTTAAGGTGGAAATCTGTTGGCTTTTGGGAAATGTAAGGGCTGACTGGTTGTCTTGGCTTTCTGACATTTTCTCTTACCCAGGGTGTGTCAGTGCTGGCCCTCACTATAACCCGCACAACAAGACTCATGCAGGCCCTAATGATGAAGTAAGGTGAGTCCATCAGAAAGGGAGGTGGTTCTCTTGAATTTCAAATTGGAGTGCTTGAAAATGCTCAAACACAATCTGCACTTTGTTTTTTTCCACATCTTCAACATGTAAGAAAATGACAAACAGCATGATTCTAAATGTTTTGAGGGGGCGCCTGATCTGCATTTTACTGAGGCTACAAATGGTTTGAACGGTGACATTGTCGTCAGTGCAGAGACTGCTGGAGCTTGCACAGATGATTGTGCTTTACTTAAAACAAGAACCATACTGTACTGCTGTCACATTTTGCACCAGAGGGTATGTTTATCTCAAAGGGACCCTTTTGCTGTGCCGTGAGATTGATTATGGCTTATATGCTTATTTCAGATAACATTTCTTCCCAATTTTCCAAAGAGCTCATCATGATTTTAACTAATATTTTCTTCAAAGATTTGGCTAACATCATATGACCACATTACTATTGTGGTTAATGGTTTACTGGGTACTTTAAAAGCTGTTATTAAAGAATTGTATCCTGATGAGTAGTTCTGTTTGAAAGGGCCTTTCATACATTTTAGATGTTTAGTCCACAACTGACCATATGGATTTTCTCTTAATGCTTTTAAAGTCTATATAACTGGCAGTGTGTTTTTCTACAACTTTAAATGTGTAGTCCTAAATTAACTTAGAAATATATTCTGGGTGTTAAATATTGCCTTTAATCACACACTTAGATCTGAAGTTTTTGTACGACATTTACAAGAGCAACCAAAGTTAGCAACTGTTACAGTATCAGCACTTTTGAACACTGAAGTTCTCTGGAGGATCATTTGCCATCTTTTCCATGTCATCTTACTTGGACGCTGGCTGAATAAAATCATTAAAATCACTAAATGTTTTAGATGTCTGAATAACTTCAGAACATTAAAAAGCTTCTCTCAATTGCCTATTGATGAGCTTCTGTTTGGGTAATTTGACGATTATTATTCATCTATATATTTTATTTTCTCTCTCCTTTACAGACATGTTGGAGATTTAGGTAATGTGACTGCAGGAGCAGATAATGTTGCCAAGATAAACATCACAGACAAACTTCTCACACTTGCAGGCCAATATTCCATCATTGGCAGAACCATGGTGGTAAGGAAACGTGGCACCTCATTGCTGTCCAATACTACACTTTTTAAAAACCTTTTTCTGTTTTATAAAAAAAAATGTTTAATTTTGTTTAGATCCACGAGAAAGCTGATGATCTGGGAAAAGGAGGAAATGACGAAAGTTTGAAAACTGGTAATGCTGGTGGACGTCTGGCCTGTGGGGTCATTGGAATTACCCAGTAACATGCATCATGACGTGGAGCACTGAAAACTGCACTTAATGAGACCAACATAGCTACTTAAGTAACTGTATTTCCTTTTCAGTACTCTGGCTTTTCGTTGACCAGTTGTTGTAGAAATGAAGCCATACTCTTCTCTGTCCGTTCCTAATGACAGTTGTGTGCGTTGGTTTACACTCCTGCCAATTAGCCTCGGTCCCAAAGAATTGGTAACGCACAAATAATTTACTAATGTATACGAATGAAAAAAATAAATTGGCTAAAATCATGAAAATCTTCTGTGTGTTCATTGTCAATATTTGGCTCTTTCCTTAGGTCTTTAAAAAAAAAAAACTTTGTACTATATTTTTTTGTTCTATGGAATTGTTAAAAGTGAGTCCTGCATCATAACATTGCCCTGGTCAAAATTCCACCTGCTGTACAAGGATGTTCATTTGTTTCAGCAACACGACTCCTGAAACTTTTCAGTTCAGTTTAAATACCTTTCTGGGTCTTTAAATGAATCCAAATCTTTGGATAAGCAGCCGACCCCCAAATGTCATGAATAGTGCCATGTGATGTTTCGGAAACCGAGTTATGTGTTCAAGATAAGTTCAGTGTTGCATTTTGGATACGTTTGTTATATTTGGCGTCCAACATGAGCAATGCAATGTTTGGTCCTCTACGATGGAGTTCCACAAAGTTCACTACAAAGGGTACAAACATTCCAAATGCACTGAATGCTTTCTTAGAAAATCTAATGGGCCATCTGAGATTATTAATTTTCTTGATTCTTGCAATCTGGAATTCTCTTGGAGTTCCTGATTACAAAAAAAACAGTTCTGTAATGCTGTCAACCTTCATCTAGGGGGCAATGCAACACAACTCAAAAGACAACAAACACAATGTTGAAGCTGCTAAACATCACCTATAGAGATTTTGTCCTCCTCTAGGAGGTAAAAAAGGTGTTTCAGTGTGGGAGTGAATACAAAAAGATGTTAATTTTAACAGCTTGGTGTTTTGCTCAGAAGTGGACACCCCAATCTTTGTTCTGCACTGGAAGCATGAACTTGAACAGACACAGCCGAAATGAGTCATCCTTCTAAAATATAAACAATGGCTTGTGATTGGAAATGTCTGAGAGGAATTGCAATCTCAGCCGGCTTCTTTTTCCATTCTGTCAGTGAACCGAACAGCTGTGTCCCATGCAGGAGAGCACACACATCACTGCCCTCAGATATACTATATTTGACCAATGTCTGCAAATACCTGGTGAATGACTGCTGAAATGGTCTTTTGTGAAAGCATTTTCTTTTTCAGTGGGTATGTTGGATGCAGCCATGTGAAGGGACGTGACTCTGTGATCTTCTCCCAGGGATTTGAGGGATGGGTAGCCCTTCAGAGGAGATAATACCCAAGGAAGATATCCAGAGGTAGAGTGTTTGGGCCGTTCAGATTCCTTCATAAAACATTTAACTCTCAAGATTTGCAACAGAATAATCATATGTGTAACAAGGCGTGTGCTAAAAACATTTGTGTTGCTCTGCTTGTTTGTTTTACATTATAATTTGAACAGGTGCCTTTAAAAAAAAAGTTTTCAACATTTCTACTGCTCTCTTTTTTGTGGCACAACCCAGGTAGAAGAATGTGGTTACTGTTACTGTTTGCATATGCGTTTTCCCTGTCTTTGGGAGGGGGGGGTGGCCGTTCTGTGTCAAGCCAACCCTAAAGCAAGCCAGAGCTGAAGAGTGGATTTAGTTGTATTTGTGTAGACAGTCGCAGCCAGTGAAGCAGAAGGACAGACTGGCTGTAAAAGCAGGTATAAATAGCCTGGGAGTGGAGATGATGAATAATAGAGACTCCCAATGCAGCTGACAGTGAGGTAGAGGGGCCATTACAGCAGTCCGATAAAACCCACTTGAAAAGCATTCATCATAATAGGAATGCAAGGTAGAGAATAAAATAATAAAGCCAAAAAAGGAACAATGATCAGTTGTTGACCGAATAGCAAGTTTAAGGAGAACCCTAATTATCCATCCTATAGACCATCTCAGACTATGTGTTGAATATCACCATAAAGCCCACTTCATCAGGTATCATAATTGATGAGGTGGGGTTTATGTTAATATGTATGTGGGTAACTTAAATGAAAGAACGCAACGTTTGGTCTGTGGCGTCACGCGTTCGGTGCGGCATTATTTTAAAAAATTCTTCTTCCTTTCAAAGATGTTTTACACATGTTTTAAACTTAATATATGTATTCTTTATACATATATTTTTTATGTTATACTGTGTATTTATCTTTGTTTTAAATTTAAGCTTTAACAGTTTCTTTTAAACACTCTTTTTTAAATGTTCAATTTTCACAAAAATAACAAATATGACTGATCGTCTTCCATACACCTCTCTTTCAATGCTATCTAAGTGATCACCCAGCGACCTTATTGTCGGTGTGTGTGGTCCTTTTGTGTGTGTTTCTATTCAATGTATCCCTTAAACCAGTCTATTTATTCCTGGCCTTTAAGGCACATGGCCCTGAATATTTTTCAGATCATGGCAGAAAAACACAGGAGCTCTTATGGCTGACACACATCCTCAGGGACATGTGATGTTCACATGAATAAGCTGTCCTGCTTTAGAAATCCAATGCCTTTCCCTCTTTTGCGTCTTCTTCTGGTGCAGTCATTCAGCTGATCTGCATTCTCGCTGCTGTTTTGTAGGAACAGCTCTGTCTGGTGTCATTAACTACGCAGCTTTGAATAAATTTTGTGAAAAAGTAGAGCGGTCACATTTCTGTTGGAGGATGCTCGATGTTCTCTCCCTAGGCACCAATTCTCCAACGGAACTGTCTAGACAGGCTTTTTCCTCACAGTTAGATATGAGTAAGTTGAAATCACCACATCTTCTTTTCTCCTGTTGAGGAAACACTGATGACTGAGTTCTGGCCTTTCTCTAGTCGGAGGTAAAAGTTCGCCCTGGTGTACAATGCCTACCTCTGACACTGTAGGGCTGTTTTAGTGACCACTAGCCATAGGTCAAGGGTGAGATGCCATGAATGGTGCCCATCCTTTGAGACATGGATGGCTGGCAGACAGGCTAATTAGAGGGCACCTTTGACCTAACCTCTGACCCCAGAGCTACGTGGCATGGGACCATTGGAATGGAGCCCCTGAATGCTCAGTGCTTTTACTTTTTATAGACTGTGATGTCATTTTTCGTGTTTATTATAGCATCCCATTACTCTCCACGTTTTACTTTAATCTATAAATGATTGCAGAGAGATTCAAAGTACTTATTTAACACTTTAAATCCTTCTCTTGGGGATTTAGATTGAAACTCCATAAACCGCTTTTCCTGCGTGATCATAACTTCCACTTTCATACAAGGTTTCACTTCATCAATGAAATAGATTAGGAATTAGGAGTATTTTACTGTATGATCATACGTCTTTCTTCTAGGTGCTGGTGGGACATTCTTCAGGTATGTCTTTGTAAAATCTGATGTATGAATGCTCAGTAGATTATTTTGTGAATTCACTGGATCACAATCACTAGTTTATGAATACTAGCAGACACTTGTATGTTTGTTGTTTTAACCCTAACCTAACAACATTCAAACTTGGCACAGATGTTTCTTTAGTGTTATATTAGAGCTGGACGAACACAAATTCTCTTCACAAGGAGAAAATGGATTTGTTTGCAAGTGATTCATTGGGCATTTGGGTGATAAATTTGACCCTATCACTAATCAGGTTTGTCAAATTTAAGTGGCTTCAAACATGATAAATGGCCCATTTAATACCCTGCCAATATTTTTCTTTCTTTGTATAAACTCTTTTTTAAACACTTTTTTATTATGCCTGTCCATATGTTTCTGTGTAACAAACTAACCAATAATCCATAAAGGGTGTCAGGCCAGAATAGGAACCAACAGTAGTTTGTGAATCAATGGATTTTATGTAATTATTGACAGATATAGTCTGTTTAAAATAAATACATACAAGCTTTTGCCCACGATTTTTACTGGTGACTGTAGTGCCCATGTGCCACTGACCCGTGATTTGCACTGGTCAGTGACAGGGTGTCAGGAGGGCAACTTTTAACAACCAGGAAAAAAAAAATAGTTCAGCTGTAGCTGATAGAAATAGTTTGTGTCTGTATGACAGAGGCCATCCGATTTTAATTCAAATTCATTAATTTAATATGTGTAGAAAGAATTAAAAGAGATTTGCACTGGCACCTTCCTGCAGTCATATATGCTGTTTTCCCCTGAGTCGGTTTCCCTGCAGACATGTAGATTTGCTCTGCATTCAACTGTTTTCAAAGCAAATATTTGCAAGCGATAGAAACTGGAAGATCTGGAAAAGTTCAACGGAACGGTCAGTTTGCAGATTCTTTTTTAAATAGTTTGTTTACATGAAACCTGCACTTGGCAAGTGTGCCCTCCTCAAAATTGCTTCCCGTAAAGGCTCACCACACAGATCTCACACTTTGGTAATTGTTTTTCTTCCTAAAAACTTGAGTGTATACCTACACTGTGTTTCCATTTAAGACTTTCTTATGTGTATGTGTGAAATGTACTGCATAGGTGTGAAGTGTTCTGCAGTAGAAAGAGCCACACACTCCAATTTTTTGTTAGGGTAAGAGGGGGGAACACAATGGGAACAAAACTGAAATAAGAAAAGGAAAAAAAGATCAGGGATATTTCTTAGGAGGACAGAAAAACTAAATTTGGAATTAGTAGATGAGAGCTTCTACCCTCACAGGCACTTCCCCCTAGATATTTGGTCCTCTAAGATAAGGATAGATTTTATACAAAGATACTGACCGCACACTTTAAAACGAAAGGGGAAATAAATCTGAAATTACGCGCATATTTTAGCATTCTTTTGAAAAACCCATTTAAAAATTCTATGCTTCCTCCCATGTTTTACTTAATTATTCATCTAAATGTGAAACCTTTTTGGAAAGTAAAAAAGTCAAATATGTTAAGACTGAGGCTGCATATTCTGATTTGTCCATTAACCCTTTGAACCATGGCCCTAAAAAACTTCCCTCCCCCTCATGCTGTGAAATATACATTACTGTTCTTGTATGCTGTTCGTACAGCATTACTCTTTATGATTGGTTCATTACTGTAAGTCACAGGTTAATTGGGCTGTAAGTCAGGCCTGAGACAAGGTGGGAAAGTGTCTCAATGGTCACTGATAGAAGTAAGACACATGTAACAAGAAAGGATCTATTAGTTTTTGTCACTAAAAAAACAGAATTGTCCACTGCAAAAATATAGAGGGGC